TTTTTTTTTTTTTTTGTTTGAGAGAGAGAGTATGGTATAGTATAGAGGAATGGATGGATTTGGAGAGGGAAAGCAAAAGAAGGAAACCCCCAGATACTGTTATATAAGATATATGGATTCGAATGATGGCTTTTGTACTGAGACTGAAAGTTTTTTTGTTTTTTCTTTTATTTACTTATTGACAGAAATATAGTAGTAAACACTGACAAAGAGCTGAAACATCTCTGCCTCTCATCTTTAATGTATTTTATAAGGGTTAGTTAGTTGGATTTGCTTGTTTTGAGTCAGTTGCGTGATCTTATGGCAGTGTTAGGTGTTACAGACTGTGAGAAAGATGAACAATATGGCCTACAAGGCTCAGTACGGGGAGCTGCTCCTTTGCTGCTAAAACAAATATATATATATATATATGTACGCACTTGCTCATCATCAAATTAACACTACCCTGCAGATCCAAAAAAGAAAAAGTGAATTTGGGAAGGCTATAAAAGAACGAAGACATGAAGATCTTTACATCTTATGGTGTATCGACAGTGACAGTGCGATGATAATAAGCCTGTATCATGAGCCGGAATTTAAGCCTCTCGATCAGTCCCTTTGCTGCAAAGTGTACGTGCTACTACTCATCAGGACGACTCAACTGCTAGCTGCAACATCTTTTCCTCTTTGGGGTTTTCTTATAGTTCATTCATTTTCACTACAAAGATAATGTATACGGAAGCTGTGCATCCATTTCTATGTATATAATATAATACAATACTTATGGAGCCACGCGCTGTTGGGAAGAATTATAGCAAACCAAATTATTGCGATCTGCACAGAGAGAAAGAAAGAGAGAGAGAGGTTCAAGATCAGTGATCAGACTCAGTTGGTTCCCTCGTTGCATGTGGCTCAAGATTCTCTTTTGAGCCATTTCAAACATCTTTATTTTTCCTTTTTTTACTGCCTGTTAATGCCGAGATGGTTTCAACGGCTAGCAATAGCAGGTATTTGGAACTCACTCAAATTCTTTCCCATCTTATGGCCATTGGTTTAATTCCGGAGCATGAATGCAACTCTCATACCATGAAATTTCTTTTAAAGAAGAAACAGGATGCAGATTAACCCGATTCATCAAATATTTCACAAAGTCTTTAGATATAAAGGCATTTTGCTTCGAGAAAAAACGTAATAATTAATCAACAACCTCATCAATTATACCTAAGTCTTGCCCTTCATGTAACTATCGATAAATGGAAATTTGATCAACTTAAACCTACCCTTGTAAGAAGCCGACATTAATGGGCTTGTGCTAGACCCAACCCATTTCTGCCAGGACCACATTCAAGACCCAAGACCCAGCTTGATCTATGGTTCCCTGGCCCAAAATCAACAGGCTTTAGATTTTGAGTAACCCGAACAACTTAAGAAGAAACGGCAGTCACAGAGGCTTCACAATGCTGTTGTCGCAGACATTTACAAATTTCTTAATCAGACAACAAGCATTCCCTCCATCCAATGTTGACGTCTTGCCCAAAGGAATTGAAAACATTACATGTTGAAGTGGGAAGCAAAACTATCTACTCATTCCATTTTCAAAATATAATAATTGTATCACATAGAATACCTATTACACATCTCGATTGATATGTTATGACCACAGACAGATCTCTGGTCGTTGACAAGCAGTAGATATATTTTATATACAAGCAGTCTCAATTTTTCAAGCTAAAACTTTCGTGCAGTCATTGAAGCACTCTTCTTCACAGCATTTCGTGACCATGACGATGGCTTGAATCCCCCTGTCAGCAAGTTAGAAGCTGCAGCTGCAGAGATCTTTCTTCTCTTGGACTCTAGCTCCAACCTTTTCGTATTGGAGGACATGGAGGACCCAGATGATCCAGGGAAGATTGAAGCAGCTTTAATCAATGCTCGCTTATCTTTTCTATTTCTGTCAAACTTGGAAGAAAACTTGACCCCTGAAGCAGTAGCAGCATCTTCTTTGGTTGCCGGAAGGAGTCGAATGCTTAGGCCCATTTTCCTCGAAGCAGATTCCTCTTCAACAACCCTCTTCTTTTGACTCTGATAACATAAACTGAGTGAGTATAACTTAGAAGCAAGTCTAGAAGAATATGTAACCATCTGAAATTAGCAACATACTCTAAGTTTGTCACGGAGAGCTTTGTTGAGGGCATAGTCATCTGAATGCCTGGCATCAGACACTCGCTGGAGGCGCACTAGCACTGGCTCAGCTTCTTTCTTCTTCTGCAAATCCTCTTCCTGATGTTCAAGACGGTAAAATGGATCTGCAAGCTTGCCTCTTTCTGCACGACAACAAACTTAACTGTCAAAACCCAACAGAACTTTGCAAAGGTGATCAGATGCAAAATGAGTAAGGCTGCTAATGGCACAGAAATGTTATGACCAAATTGCTAGTCTTAATATTCATGATGAAGGGACTCTTTGAAGCACATTAATGTAAGTATAATCCTGATGGACACAGAAAAAAAAAAGATGTTTACAAAAAGTCATTAAGTGTCATACATGGCACTATGGGTTAACCTCAGTGTGAGTCAACCTGTGCCTCTGATTGCAAGTGCAAGAGCGATTCACACTTCTCAAACTATTGGTGCAAATCGTGCCACAATACAATATTTCAATGCAAAGCAAAGTATAAATACATGTAACTCATTAAATACCTTCATCAGCAGGGAGTTCTAAAGTCTCTGCATCCTCAACATCAAACACTTCAGTTTTCCTCTGAGCTCCACTAATGATCACATACTCGCAATTTTTTGGGTCTGTCTGAATGACGATCTCATGTTTGCAGCATGCAGACTTCATGGTAAAGCTCCATATCTAAAAGACAAAGGAAATTGTAAGGAAAACCTGATCATCCCTGAGCCAATGCTAATTCAAAGATTAAGTTTCCATTAACCAAATCCAAAGCACAGAGAAACACTCTTCCACTAGTTCAGATTTAAATAAATTATGCATAATAGCTAATGCAACCAGTAAGAAAAGATACCTTTGTAGAATAATAATTTCCCACTTGCTTCTTTTCAGCATTGAACCGTACACCTTTTGCAATCATGGAATTGCATCCACCACACCAAACATTGAAAGGCATTTCAAACCTGGAAAGATTAACAATAATGAGAACCAGACACTATAATTACCATTTAGAAAGAAACTTCCCAAAACAACAACATGTGCAAGGATCATTTAAAACAAAAGCAATTAAGAAAATTAAATAATTTATAGTTGAAAGACTTGGTCTTAACAAGTCGGCTGGAGACCTAAGTCACTTAGAAGATTAGAAAGCTCTTAAACAATCACCCAGATATCATGTATAGCTTCAGAATTTCATGCTGGAAATTAAACCTTAGGCCAACTCTATGCACCCACATCTTAACATAGATCGTAACGGCTATAAGATCAAAGAGAAGTATAAAGCTTTGTGCTTCCTTTTTGTGGAAAAACAAAAGAAAAAGGATAGGGAAGTGTTGCCTTCTTAAGTCAAGAAAAATAGCAAGTCAGAGCCTAGTTGCAACCACTCTTATCAGAACACAGTGAAATAACCCCAAAAATGCTTAGTCATGATCTATTTCAGACGATTATTTTCAACATTAACCACCCTGAATATATGTGTGTGTGCGTGTGTGTTGAAGATACTGAAACAATATTTTTGAGGCAAAAAAATTAGCATCAAAACTACGAAAGGAGTCTGATTCATTACCTTATGATCAAAATGCCTTGATCTATTTTCCTTGCCCTCTCTCTCAAAGCATGTTGACCATGAAACTTGTTCAAAGAGCCCTGAAAATGAACACAACCCCATAGTTTAAAAACGTGATATGTCATAAGTTACATTTAGCAAAACATTTCCTTGCAATCAAAAATAACAGAAAGAAAATCATTGTAAACGCTACATACCTGACTTGGGTCCCATTCCGGAGGATAGTAAAAGTTATCCGCTCTAGCAGCTGCAAGTGAAGACTGCAGAAGCACAAAGAAAGCAGGTTAAGCATTGTTAAATTAATTGCAGTAGAGGGAGAAAAAAAAAACCCCTAGCTTCAGACGAGTTGAACAACAGAAAAACTTAAAAAAGCATTAATTCGCATCGCAACCCTTCAACTCTTATAAAAAACAACATAATAAAACTTATATTAGCAATCAGCCTAAAACATATTTCCCTTAGAACAATGCTCTAAAACATCTTTCACGAATTTCATGAAATCTATCCAGCCATACGAAACTAAAGCTTGAAATCAATGAAATCGACATAACTGCATCAAAATTCTGCAATTCAAACTCCTAAATTGGCATAAAACTTGCATTTCCTGGGGCACGATCTTAAGCACGATTACGAATAGTTAATATAAGTGAAACCGACATTATTTTACCCAAATCACTATCTAGGGATTCTAACATCTAAATCAAACCATTGGAATAACACGAAACTTTAATTCTAGGGAAACAATCAAAACACAAAACCACAAAATTATGTTTAATAATTCGCATACCATCTTTTCTTCTCGTTCTCGATTCTCCCCGTTCTTCTTCCCTTTCTTCTGATTACGATTCTGGAGATTGGGATTTTCCTTCGCCTTTTCACTGGCCTTTTTCCAAATTTTTGCACTATATATAGTGTTTCCATTGTGGGCCGATTTTGGGCTATGGACCGTAATGAAGTTAAGGCCCTTTTTTATTTTGGGCTTCAACTTTTCCTTGCATTCTTTTTTTGGTAATATATAAAAAAAATAAATTTTAGTTACTAGTATTAAGAAAAGCTTGAATAAAAAATTCTCTGTGGTTAAATTTTAACGGAAAATAATAACATAACTGTAATATTAATATAAAATTTTATTAGACGCACAACATCAAATTATGAAAAAGATATTAAATGAGGCACTTAATGCAAACAGAATACTTTTATTAAAAATGATAATTTATGAAAAGAAGGACTTCCCTTTGCTTTTGTTTTACTATATCTAAAAATAAATAAATAAAAGGTCCTAAATAATTTGTTTTGTCAAATGCAATGTTTTTTTTTATTGCTTTCTTTAAGTACACAAATTAATACAAAAGGAATACTAACAAAAAATATATATATATCATTCCCCACAAATAATGCAGTTGATGGGTCTTTATTAAATGCATTAAGAGAGACAAGTTGTTTAACAAGTAAATTTAATGAGTGATAAATCCTTCATAACTAATATTAAAATATGACAAGCAATTCATAGAATTAATTGGACCATGTGTGAAATACACATATTCGTTTTTGATAGAGGTGATGTTGGTCTATTTCTTTTAATTTTATGCGCGGTACATATGATTTTAGACTATAACATTTTGTAATATTGTTGAAATTGATTAATTAGTTTTAATATTTATATTTTTTAAATAATGAACCAATAATATTGAACTATAAAAGGGAATAAAAAAAGAAATATTGAGTCTTCAAACTAATCAAGATGTGAGCTTATGATAAAGATAGAATGAGACTAAAATAATTACTTTAAATTTAGTGTCACAATTATCTCTCCTGTTATACCAATGTCGATGGTTTTTATTTTTTTTTAATTGGTACATAGACCAAGGTCAAGATAACTAGCTAATAATTTAAACACACACACATATGTATATGTATATTAAAGTGATCATAGTACACCAACAAGATGAAGCTAAAATATTGTCTTAATAGGAAAAAGAGGTACCCTATTATATAGATCCAATAACATATAAATATAAATATTTATATTATAAGCATGGTTAGACTTTAGGTTTAAAGGGAATCACGTAAGGAATTAGTGATCAATCCAGATCAAGTCACAATTTTTGGTATTATTAGGAAGAAGAAAGAAAGGTGATATTATTTGAGGTAAGCCTAAAATACTATATATGGCAATAATCTTCACTTTTGGAAACTGTTCATATATATATTTCTCTGTCACCAACTTTTATTTTATTATTATTATTATTTTTATTTTTGTTTTCCTTGTGAAACTAGTCATAGATTGCTTTGTCCATAGAAAATGTGGATTGCACATTCCCCACCCATTTTTCCATTAGTTGCAATTCACTCAAAACCAGCATGGATCTTCTTCCCTTGCACCCCATCATATGATCATGCACTCTTAGATATATATAGTGTATATTTCTTTCTAAAAGAAAAAGAGAGAGAGAGAGAGAATATATTGTCATTTATTCATTATTCCTATGCGTCAAAGATATTCAAAAGATTACTAATAATAACCATTATCAAACTTAATATTATTCAAGCTTTGACAATCTTTTAATCATTGCCCTTTTTTCCCTTGATTTCTAAGGAACTTTCATTGGGAAAGGGTCTACCGCTCCCCCTTTCTCTATTTTCTCTTGTTAGCATTAAAAGGTGCCCTCAGGTCTCACATGAAAGGCCAAATCCACACACATTTCAACCCTCCCTTCACATTCCCTATATTTTGTCAAACTTCAAAAATCTCTGCCTTGTGGTTCCCCTTTACTTTCTGCTCCATGCTTCCCTTTGTAACCCTTCTGCTACTACTCATCCTCCATGGCCTGGAAAGTTTCCCACTTGGTCTTCGTCACCATCCTTTGGCTCTCTCTCCTCTTCTTATTGCTTCATGAATTCCACAGTTTCAAGTTCAAGATCAATGGCAGACAAGCCAGCTCCATAACCTTTTCATCGCTTTCTCGTAACCCTTTGATCAGTAGGAAAGTTGTTGCTAGCAAATTTGACTTCACCCCGTTTCAAAAGCATCATCAACAGGAGCAGCAGGATAAACACTCCCCAGACATGAAAAGACAATCCCAGGCAGCTGATACCGAGATTGATCCGCGTTATGGTGTCGAAAAGCGGCTTGTACCTACTGGTCCGAACCCATTGCACCATTGATGATGATGATGATCATTTCTCAGGTGAACGAGTTACAGGAAAAAAAAAAAAACCAAACCCGAAACAAAAAGAAAAAACACAGCTAGTATATCTATGATGTGATTTTGTTCTTTACTTTCTGAATTTTATTTTATTGGTCGTCGCTCTTTACTTTAGTTCTCTATATATGAAACCTAAATTGCTTTAGATCATATTGATGATTAATTCTGTATAATATATTCTTGTGAGTTTGAGCTTGTATATGTACTAAAGGACAAATATTACAATCCCAAGATCACAGACATGATACATACATTCTATACATTAATTTTAGGCTTCTAGAGATTGGTTTTCATGATTATTAACAATGATTATATTACATACTACTTGATTTTAATTGCCTTTTTTTTTTTGGTGGGATTTCAAAGGAAACATGAGTAGCTGTGACGGCACGATAGAACAAAAATCAAGCTAACACACACCATAATTAATAATCATTTTTCCTTTTGGCTAAGAAAGTAAAAAGAATATATGATTAGTGTAATAAGGATTATTTGCTTTGTGTTGACGATCAAGGTAATATGTGTGTTTGTTTTCTGGCTTCACGTGATGGTTTGGTGCCACGTGGCGGAATTGTAAATGATGGTTATGGTTGCATTCATCTCCCATTTGTGATGCCCATAGATCATGTAGAATTAAAATTTAATTACCCCAATTTTTGTAGCCAAGCTTTGGTGTGGAAAATTGGTCCAATTGGTAAGGATTTTAGTGATGGGCACTCATTTAATTTTGGAATGCATGTGCTGTTTCTATCATTACTAGGCCTTTTTATTTTATGGCTATGCCCTATGGGTCACTCCACTTGATTTCAAGAAAGTACTAACATCTCCAAAGTTCTTCTTTTTTTTTTTTTCTGTTCTTTTCGTTCATGGAATGTGTTTGGATGTTGTAAATTTAGGCCAAAATGTTAAAAGGAGATGAATAGCACATTTATAAATTAAAAAAATGCAACTTTAAATTTAAACGAAATAAAATCAAAGAGGATGAGAAAGTGAGAGAGGCAGACGATACAAAGTAATTAATTTATCGTGATTTGGTTTTTTTTGACAATTTTAAAGATTTGATTTTTGTTTTCTTTTATGATTAGGACGGTTTTTGAATTTTACATAATTTGAGTTAGAAAAAGTTTTAACTTTTGTTATAATGTAGTTTTAAGCATTGACCATGTTTTTATATATATATATATATATATATATGATGAATATTTAATCTACATTAATAGTTCAAAAATATCATTTTACATTTATCAGATACAACAAATATCTAAAATAGTATATACTATATAATGATATTTATTGGAAAATTAACCACTACATGCTAATTAAGCAATAACTTTTAAGTTACATGTAGGAATAATGAGGTTATTGTGATATGAATTGTCACTATATTATATTGTACATGTGTATGTATGATGTAATTTACTCCCATGAATAAAGTATCCATGTGGCTATATATGGTTGTGGTGGAATTAGATCATGACATGATTATCTCTTCACGATGGGAATAGAAGAGAGGAAAAGATATTCGGTCAGAGGTAGAGGAGATTACATATATCCTTAAAGATCAATGTTCTAATGATAGCCATCATCATGATTATGGATTGAAAGTATTGTATTTATGATAAGTTATTTTACTAAAAGCAAAATTTGAGGTGATGGAGGTTTGGGCGGGGATCATTCATCAACAAATATTATAAATTTTTAAAATAAAAATTAATTTCTTGATGGTAAAAACCTCTTCTGTCAAAGCTAGAACCTAGCTAGCTAGATGAGAATTAGAGCCTAACCAGAGCAAGGATCGGCCCACTTAATTCCCCAGATTAATTACCTTGACGTGGTACGTCTAATCATCTTTAAGTTTGATTACAACATCACTCTAATTGGTGATTGCTTTTACAACTTGTACATGACAGCAACATTTGGAGAACATAGAGGCCAGGTTGGTATGCGTGAGAGTTTGATATTGTTGCCTATCTTTCATGGGTTTAAACAATTTGCGAATGAGAGAGATTTAATCCCTGTCTCATTACACAGTGCATCAGAGATCAATGGAGTGATAGGCCACCTAATGAAAAAGATGTTTCATAACTTAATTCAGTGGAAAGATTGAACACATTTCACTTGGATGTTGAGCATTGTAAATAAAAGAAATTATTCCATGACTTGTTTAGTCTCTCTCTCTCTCTCTCTCTCTCTCTCTATATATATATATATATATATATATCCCAACAGTGTGGTTAACGATTGCTAATCTAACAAAGTTTTTCATTGTTGGATTGTGACCGATGTTTACTGACAACAACTTGTGTGTTTTGTAATAAATTTGGCAGAAAATTGAAACAAGGGGAGCTTGGAATTTGGCAATACATGATAAATGAATCATGGAATAATGCATGAAGTCGAAAAGATTAAGCTGAAGCTAGTCAAAGGAGGACTTATTAATGGAAAGGATTGAGCATGATTTTCAATCAAATTAATTTATTATTGGACTAAAATCTGCCAAATTAGCCGTGACAAACACGTCTTGGATTTGTTCTAGGAAGTGGTTGGAGGATTAAGTCGACTATAGTTAATTAGCAGCTGGAGTACAGCTAGGAGAGTAAAGTATCATAAGCTGCAAATCTGGAATCAGTCGACGTTCAACCCCCATTAAGGAGAAAAAGATTAAAACTGAGCAGAATAGAGACCTGCAAAGGCCAAGAATTTCTACTTGATCAGACACCCTTTGCCTTGACTCAAATGCTCCTCATAATATTTCAGACAAATTGACTACCTTTCTACATTTACAATTGATTCTAACCGAAATTGAAATATTCATTCACAAGCATCAGGGCCCCCAGATGGTCCGTGTAATCGATGAAAACCAGCAGTACTGGGATCCATTCCTCTCGCCTTGTTTCTCTCAGTATCAGCCCTGGAAGCCTTACGTGCTAAGCACACACGCCATGGGCGTGCTCATCCCAAGTTTAAGGACGAAGCAATTGATACAAAATTTGCACCGAAAGTCACCGTTACTGAAGCCTAAGCAACTTGTCACAAGCATTGGTGACAAAGCAATTTGGTTCATCTACAAGCAAAGAGGCAGTCACAACATTGATCAGCAGACGACTGAAAATGAAGCTAAAGAGCAGGAGATGGTTAAATTTGTGGCAGTAGGCAACTTTGGGGGCTAGAAATGCATGAAGGCCACCAGAATTTTGCAGGTGTAATATTCTATGATAGTTACTTATGGAAATAAGCTTTGCCGAGCCACCACCAAGGTCACCTGCAGCAGGGCCAAGTCCCTTGCTGAGTTTTCCTCTTCCTGTGGCTAATTAAGCATTTCGAGCTACCTTTTCTTTTCTCTTGATATTTCTTCTCAACTAAAAGAGATGTATTAAATATGATGAAATGATGCATGCATGCTTATCATCTTCACGAGAAAGATTAATAACATGCCGACACTCAAACATCTAATAGATATAAGAAATCGACATTTTTCAAAAGTAGAAACCGTGTATGATGACACTAATTGTATCGGTTTCGTACTACCACCACACCAAATTTAGCAAGAGAGTGCCTTATTATATAATCTCTCTAACATTAATTTTCTTCATGCTTTTAATTATGAAAATAGGGTAGATAGCGGGCCGAGCTGGGCTTGAATTTTTCAAGATATGTCCGATTGGGCCATACATGGCCCCTGAACATGAATAGCTTCCAACCTCTATCTATCCGCTATTCACTCCTGTCCGTCTGCCTGTCTGAAAACCATTTTGGGAGGAAGAAAAAGGATGTCTGCCTTTCGTCTGCCTTCACCTGTCCTCTTCCCTCGCTCCAATTCCAATTCCTGTTTTTTGAGTCCTTTAAGAAGAAGAATATCTCAAGTAATTCTTATTAAGGCCGCTTCTTCTGTTAACGATAAAGTTGACAACGTCGATTCATCTACCTCAAGTACAAGGTTGATCACTTTCTTAGGAAAAGGTGGCTCCGGCAAGACCACCTCGGCTGTTTTTGCTGCCCAGGTTCCTTCTTTTATCTCTTTGCGTTTTATCTGATTTTTCTTTATTACTTGAAACATCAATGCCTTCTTAGATGCCCTTTGTCTCCGTTACATGGATAGTTTGGTGCCCGAAGCCTAAACTGACAGGATAAATCAGGAATGGGCAATTCCAGAACTCATGACAGATTTAATATCTCGTTGCAAGCAAATGTTGTTTTCTAGTGCTAAATTCGTTAACCGGACGAATTAGCTTTACTAAATTCTTATTTGTTGGCCGACAACTTTAGCATCCTTTATTTACTGCGTACTATTTGGTGAATGCGCTGAAACCCCTTTCAAGTTTTAGCATTCAGGCTCAACTGCTTTGTTCGTTTTCCTTCCCGTTCCCCTGTCTTCTTTCCATCTTGACTTTCTTTGCTGCTGCTTAGCATTATGCAATGGCTGGACTGAGTACGTGCTTAGTGTTACACGGCCAGGATCGCACCGCTGAGTATCTTCTCAATTGTAAGATTGAGTCCTCTCCCATTGTATACCGTGACAACCTTTCAGTTGTTAGGCTGGAAACGACTGAAGTATGTTTCTTTACTTTCTTTGCCATATTGTATCTATTCCAGTGAGAATATGTTGGCTCAAATGGCTTTTGGCTGAGAATGGATTATTTGTTAAACTGCAGATGCTTCTTGAACCCCTCAATGAGTTGAAGCAAGCAGATGCTCGTCTTAATTTGACACAAGGAGTTCTCGAAGGGGTGGGTATGTAATATCTCTTGAATTTTTTTAGTTTTGACTTCCTTGCCTTGGATGTTTTGTCTGCATGGTACTTCACTATGTATCTTTATTTGACACATAGTAGGTTGTGGGAGAAGAGCTTGGGGTGCTTCCTGGGATGGATTCTATTTTTTCAGCACTTACACTTGTGAGGCTTCTGGGATTATTTGGGAGATGGGCTCGAAGGAACCATCAAAAAGATAAATTTGATGTGATAATATATGATGGAATCAGCACTGAGGAAACCCTACGAATGATAGGTGCAAGCAGTAAAGCAAGGTTTGGAAATAATGTTTTCTCTTCCCCTAGCTCCCGCGGGACAAAAATAAGAAGAAATGATTTCTTGTTCAAAATGATCAATACACAACCATATGACTATGCACAGACTGTACTTGAAATACTTGCGGAGTGTTGCTGAGAAGACGGATCTTGGGAGATTGGCTGGTCCTTCACTCCTGAGACTTGTAGATGAAGCCATGGGCATAAGTGGGAAGCCATCCCAGCTCAATGGGACTATGAGTGCAGAAATATGGGACAGTCTGGAACGAATTCTTGAGGTAACCATGAATTTTATTTTATCAATTAGTAAATTTTAAGTAGATCCAATAGGACTGCCAATGACTGTAAGCCATGCAGGTAGGATCTTCTACCTTTTCAGAACCTCATCAATTTGGCTGCTTTCTTGTGATGAACCCAAACATTCCAACATCTATCAGTTCTGCATTGCGTTATTGGGGTTGTACAATTCAAGCTGGAACGCAGGTTTCCGGTGCATTCGCCATTGCTTCCCCTGGTTTGGATGTAGAATCAATGGAAAGTGTCAAGAAGAGTTTTTTGCCCTTGCCTTTTGCTTTCATTCCAAATCTCTCAATGGGTTCCCCTCAAGATTGGAATGCCATCATGCTGAGCAACACCAGTGAACGTGCAAGGGATCTCCTTTCTTTGCCAGCAGGCCAGAAGTATAGCATAGTGTCATCAATAAATTTTGATGTGGCAAGAAAATCAGTAACCCTTCTCATGCCAGGTTTTGACAAGTCAGAGATCAAGCTATATCAAGTATGTTCAGTTCTGAACTCTCCAATTCTTCTTTGTTCTCTGATAGTTCTGAAGGTTTTCTGAGATGCTGGCAAAAATTTTACTTTCCTATTTTGAAAATGCTACTTAAGAGAAATCTCTTTCCCGCTTTTTTTTTTTGGGTTAAATTAATGTTCCCAATGAGCAAAAATAAAGTTGTGCCTGGAGAGGGATATTGTGTTTGCTTGCTAGTGCTGCAAGAGCCGATAGAGATACCACTTTGTACTAAGGAATTGATACATTAAGTTTTAAGTAGAATTAGCTTAGTCTGTCAGATAACAACTAAGAATTTATCTGTCTTCTCGGAAACCCTTTTTATGTGTATTTAACTTGCATGGTTACTCCCATCTTGTTATACCTCTTCTCATTTTCTAAAAGTTAAGAATTCCATATGGTCGATAATGGTGATGACTCTTTAATATGTGGCAACTGCAGTATAGAGGAGGATCTGAGTTGTTGGTGGAAGCAGGGGACCAAAGACGAGTCATATTTCTGCCGCCTGAAATTCAAGGGAAGGTTGGAGGCGCCAAGTTCACAGACAGAAATCTTGTAATCACAATTCGATAATGTGGTTCTGAACCATTGTTTTAATAATTTCATTTCCATATTGGAAGTCTTTCTTGAAACAACAGTGATAAGATTTTACTGTGGCAATGGCTAATAGATGTGATAGGTGTCCTTTAAATCAACAGAAAAGCACTGGACTTCAAATTTGGCTTGTTAGGAACCTAGAGAACAACAAAAATATAAGTGATGGCAACCATCCCAAAGGGAAGCAAGCTTTCTGCATGGGATTTGGGTGGTTCAAGGGGCTCACAGAAGCCAATATGGATCTAAGTCCGAGATAGTACAAGATTTAGAGGACCCGTGAGATGAACAAAGAGCAGGAAGCATATTTAACAAATTCAACGTGCAACAAGAATTTTGGGAGAGTAGAAATTTGAACACATTGTAACATAAAACAATATTTTTAGATGCATTTCTCTTTCCTTTTTCTGTCTCATGTCTAATTTAACTGGACAGGCCATTGTACAATATTCTATCTGTATGGAGTAATTTCTAATACATTGTCAAGTATAAAAGCAATATACAGTAGAGCAGTGGAAGACTAAGGAAAAGAGTAAGGCCAAATATGGTACATCATGCTTCCGGCTTATTGTCTTCTCCCATTTGTGAATGCACACGGCTCCTAAGTTCTTCAAAAGCCTTCATGCTTTCTGCATCAAAACCACCCGCAAACTGGGGGAGGAGGAAATCAAGTCATCATTTATTTGAACATTTCAAAGAAGTTTCTTCCTCAAAACACAATTATAGTTTTAGTTTTCAAGTAGAAATCAGAGAGCTTTACTTAAGCAGTACAAGGAATTCCTTTGATTGACCAGGGATCAATTCTGTAACCTTTAGCATGGATGCTAAAGACCAAGAGAACCAAGTGCAAAGCAAAATACCTGATGAACACGGAAGGCAAAACGGATGCCCTGCAGAAGTATAAACTCTCTGTTTGGTTCTTTCTCAGGTCCAGTCAATACATCAAGTTCTAATGCTACACGTTTCATGTATTTCCTTGCCAATTGTACAGATGAAAGCTTGATCTGGAATAGGGGAAAGAAGGCAGAAATTGACAATTATATAGTAGGACAAATTGCATACACGTTTACATTTGTAGTGGTGGTTTCATCTATTCTTAATTACATATAGAAAATTTATACAACTTCTGAATCATAAGAACACTTCAATATAAAATCTAGAGTATTCCAAACTGACACAGAATATGAAATTTTCAGTGTGGCCCTTCTAACAATCCATATCCTTATCATTGACATTATTGAAACCAGTAGCATAATATACTAGTGTTGATCAAAAAGCTACTACATCATTATAACAGGGTGACAATCTGTGAGCTAGGTTCCATATATCATATTATTTGCCACTAGAGAGAAGGGTAGTTTCACAAATAAAACAACACATTGCATAAAATGACCAAACCAATCCTTTTAATTCTAGTTTTAATTCATACCTTTCCAACAACCCCAGAATCCAATAACCAATTAACTGGAATTCCAAACTCCTTGTATCGTGAAATAGCCATGTCTCTTGTACGTAAAAGTGCATATACACTTTGTTCCACTCTGAGAAACAAAAAAATGAAATAGCAAATCAGAATTGATGTAAAAAACTGACCTACTGACAGTTTATGACAAGAGAAACTGCAACTCTAATGCATTTTATTAGGGAAACTGACCTAATATTGAAATGCTCCTAAAGGAAAATAGTAGCATTTTATTAGGGATTTAAAAAGATTATTGCCCAAGAGTTCAGACAGTATACTAAATGAATCCAAACTGACATACTTTTCAAGCAACTTGTACATCTTCTTCAGAGCAGCTTCACAAGGGAGGCTGGGATCATCAACAAAGGATGAGACCTGCTTCTCCAACTTCACTAGGTCCTGGTATTCAAAAGCTGCCTCTCTTAATGCATCAGCTTTTCCTTCAGGCCAATCAAAGTGCTTGACAACTGCTCTTTCATCAACCTAGACAGGTGCAGGAAGATAATTAAGTCGATAGTAGACAGACAATTTCAAGTGAATCTGTCAAACAGATAAGCAAATATTTATTGAAAATTATGAGGTTCATAAACAATATATCTCGCCACAATATGAGTTAAAGCAATGCCATAAGGTCTTTCTTTATGATTGGTAGAACAAGAGAGCTGACTATGAAGAGCAACATTGCATGTGATTAGACCCAGGGTTTAGTTGCAAGATACATCTTTCTGCCATATTACCTCATATCTATATACCTTTTCTGCAATAAGATCTCTTTTAAATTTAAACCATTGAGTGCCTCTGACAGATGAAATGCGTATTTTAGCTTGTGAAAATTATTATTGCATACCAAGAAGGAAAGTTCCTCATCTAGCCAATTTACAAAAGCCACCAGGTCTTCTATGTTGGTGAAGGAAGCTGCTCGAATTTCAGTTGCCAAGGAGTGGACAAAGTCACCTTGAGTTTCCACATCAGCTTTTACCTGGATCCATTCCACAAAATTTCATGCCGTTAAGTTTGATTAAAGAACACCTATGCTTTATCTTAAGATAAGCAGATAAATGAAAGGAAAGGAAAATTTTAACACACAGCTAAGAGGAATGATGATCTGTTCTCAATCTCTCCAATCATGTTGCTCCTAGCATCTGATGGATTAGATGTTGGGGAAATCAAACTTGACATGTCCTTCTTTGCCTCTCGTTTCATCAATGTTTGATAAAATTCAACAACTTCGGGAGCTCGGTGAACTTTATCAGCACTGCCTGCCCCCCTAGGTAGGCTTCCTGGAGGAGGGGGCGGAGGTGGTGGTCCACCAGGAGGTGGTGGTGGTGGTGGCGGCGGCGGCGGCAGGGCACCAGTTGGTGGAGGTGGAGCAGGATGTTGTCCGGTTGTAGTGGTATTCACAACGGCAGAAGTACCACCAGCTGGCTTAGGTGGTGGCCTGGGCACCCTAGGTGTTCTCTTTTCAATGTGGGCAAGTTTCATCTTGCTTATTGTTTGAGAATCTACAGCCTTATCGTCATTGGATTGCTCACTTGAGTCACCCGAAAAAACTGTCCTCTCCTTTATTTGAGCAAGTTTTGGTGGTAAAATTACAGGTTTCTCTCTTTCTGCTTTTGAACTGAAATTCGACTTGTCTCCAAACCTTTCTGCCCTTGCTTGCTGTGCTTTTTGCTTAATTTGTTTCTCCCTCTCCAAGGCCAACTTATGACGGTCCTTATAAGCAGGATATTTTTCCTCTAGAATTCCATCCATCGATCTAGACATTAAGTGGAATGATGTTGCAACAGAATTCGGAGAGTCACCAGAAGACGCTTGTGTTCTAATGTTTGGAAGAGTTGGGGTTTCAGGGGAGTCAGTAAATTCCTGCTCATTTTTACCAAAAGTAGTGATTGCCACACCATCACCGGCATTCCTCAGCATCAGTGCTTCTAATGGACCCCGAGGATGTTGGCTCATGCTAATTCTGCTTGGAGAGCCTCCAGAGAGGGATCTGGCTGGTGATGAAACAGCACTTGAATCATCTTTGCTCCTGCCCCATTTCTTCAGCTTTTGGATTAAGCTAGGTTTCTTACTGAGACTGCTATATCTACTGTTGGAACTATAAATAGAAGTATTATCCAAATCCTCACTTCCAGGAGAGGATGGATGAGAGAAGTTGCTTTCAAGATCTGTGTCCCCTTGCCCACGCCCTGATCCTGCATATTCCAATAGCAACTGTTTAGCCCTCTCTTGGGACTTGGGGCTCAGACTTTTGTTGAGATCACGAGCTGATATTTTTCCTCTAGGTGTCTGGTAGTTTCGGAGTTCATATCTCAAGCATGCATTGACCCAACGAAGGTACACTAGCTCTTCAACTTCACTAAATCTGTTCATCTGAAGCCCTTCCACTTGCTTTAGCAGATCTTCATTTGCATGTCTTAAATTACTGACCTCTTCTCTTGCCCTGGCATCAATTTCAGTCTGTAACAGCATGAGACAAAGAAAAGAAGAAAATCATGTACATGCATAAAGTAGAACATATACACTACTACTAATCACACAGCCTAGCCCTGATTTGTTTAACTTGTCAAATCATTTTCCAAAATCTGTATCTAAGCGATTCCTACCATATTCCTAGCTTGTTGGTATTCTCTTTCTTTGAAATTTGGTTTATGCTTCTTAATTTTGCAGAGAAAGTTCATTAAGGTATTTGACTAATAATTCTCTTGCTCAGCATATTATTATATAGGTAGGATTAAAGGGCCCTTAACTATCTACCTGAGTTGAGAGTATGATAAATAGGGGAGTATCATGGCACTTACCTCTGTCATGCCAGAAAGGGCAGCAATTTTTGCTTCAGCAGCATCCAATTTAACAGTTAACTCCCTCTTTTCATGTTGAAGCTCTTTATTCTTCCTTCTAAGCTCCATTACTTCCATTTCTAACTCCTGCACAGCTTTCAGCTTCTTCTCAACCTCAGCATCATTCTTGATGGCTTCTTGCTCTTTTGCTTGAAGACCAGAAACTTGTTGCTTGAGAAACAATAACTGGGCTTTTGTCTGGTTAGCTTCGACCTGAATTTGCCTTTGTAGCTCCTTGATTTTGTTCTTTGCAACCTCCAGCTCCTTCTTTACAGAAGCTCCATGTGCAATGTCTTCTTGGAGCTTCTTCCTCTCAGACTGCAAAGAGCTGATGGTAATATTCAGCATGTCAATTTCAACTGTCTTGATCTTGAGCTGCCTTTGTAATTCAAAAGTATCTGATTCCTGCTCCTTTAAACCATAGTACTCCAGCAATTCACCCTCAAGCTTCACTTCCCTCTCCTCCAGCTCCTTCACTAAATTGCGCAACCGTTCCAGTTCACTTGCATTGTTTGCCATCTCAGTTTCATAAATTTTTTCTTTCTCTGCCCTTGCAAACTTGTCAGCGGATAATGGATATTCAATCTCCCCTGACAGAAGGTCTTCAAATTCAGGTAGGATATCTTCATCACCAATATCTGTTTGGCTACCATTAATTTGATTAAATATGCTGCTAATCAATTTAACCTCTTCTTCCTCCTCTTCTTCCTCACCCTGTAATAATGGATCACATCTCAATAATTGATAGGAAATAATAAAGACTAGCTAATATTCTTAGACGATAAATCAATAAGAGCAAGTAATATCTGGTAAGAAGTATATTGTCAACAGGATATGAAAATTTGATTGCAGTTAGATATACACTTACATCCTTCTTTTTGAGGCTATCATTAGAATATGCAAACTGCTTTTTGTTGTCCCCCTCATTTGGATGTTCCTCAAAGCTTGCTTCTCCATTTTCTGAGTTTCAGTGTTACCAAAGCAGAAGTTAACAAAACACAATGAAGCCTATAGGAGTAAAAGAATGACGTCCTTGTTTTTAATATATATAAGTTTAGCAATTACATAAACCATAAATTGTAGAGTTCTCTAATGGGAAAACATTAATTAGGGAAAAGTGCAATCTTTCTTTTATCGATTAGGATCGCTAAATATTGAATTACTGAGAAATTACAAACTTGAGTACCTGAAGGTTTTACCAAAGAAGTTGATGACTTTGAGTTTTTGGCATTCAGCTGCTTAACTGCAAAGGCTGCAATTGAAGCAGCAACAACGAATCCTACCCTGACTATCATGTAGGAATTGTTGATAGGAAAATCCTCTTCCTCCGCTCATCTATAGAAAGAAAAAATCCAAAGACATCCCCCAGTCCATTTCTCCTCATCCCCAATCACTAATAACTTAAACCATTATGACCCTTCAAGTGCAAAACCAGCAACGGAGAATGTAAGAGCTCGCCTGCAAGGCTTGTGTATATGCAATCCTGGTGCAACTTCAAGTAGAACACAAGTTAGAGAAGTAGAAAATATGCTCAAGTATAAAAGCCATATCCACATATAAACGTTCCTATTCCACTAGTATTATCATGTTATCAGATTTCTAGGCCTTTCAAAGAAAATCTTTCTAGTATACACAATTTTCTTTGATGAGTAGAATCCAAAACAACTGTCATGCTAAGAGCTACAGCCACCACCAATAACTAGTGGCCAGTTTTGCTCCGAAAAGATTGACAATTTACTTATGGGTAGGATTAAAACCTTACCATTTTCCTGAGAAAGATATTGTACAGTGTAAACAAGGCCAAACCCAAAGCTGAAAGAGACACCAGAAACTGTAAATTTGAACAAAAAGCAAGTGTGCCAAAGTATCTCCCCTTTTTGATTAGGGACTACGTATATATTTTATTAGCAATTAAGATAAGATGTGGGGAGAGACTGTCTTGTCTCTAATGCATTTAATTGAATGTTTCAGTTACAACTAATTGGTAGGTGTTTGTCCAATTAAATTTCTCTAATCAAGCTTTGGTGGATCAGAGGGTAACCATGGACCAATTTCAACCGTCTGATCAACCATGCACCACAGCAGCCTTGGACCCCCACCCCACAAGATAAACCAAAGCAGATAAGTAAAGGCCGAAACTTTAATTCCCAGCCGTTT